CAACGCATTATTATCCAACGTTTACACTATTATTGTTATTATATATACTCATACACACGAGCAAATAATATTATATTGTTCTTTGGAAATGGACGGTTGGAAGTCGAACGGAGAGGTCAAAAGAGGTGAAGTTCGTACGTGTCCGTAAAAAATCGGTCTCGGCGACAGATCTCGTCTGGCCCCAAGACGACGACAAAGAACGCGACACATCATAATATACATCTTAATATTAAACAAATCGTTTTGGTCACGATCTTCCAGCCCGGAAGAATTTCCACACGGTTGCTGATCTGCAATATTATATTAAGCTAAATCAGTCAAATTACCATATTCTTACCACCCCCCCTCCCCCACCAGTCCAATAAAAAGAGCAGAACGCCAAGTTATTTTATAAACGACAAGCTCTACACACGCTACGACAAAGTAACAAGGAGAGAAGCATTTCAAAATTAAAACCTTCCACTTTGTCTTTTTTTGGAAAAAAATGTGTTTAACTTATACTCGTATTGTATAAATACATTTTATTTTAATTTCACGAATACTTTTAATTAAATTTCAAACTATCTTTTCTGCTAATAATGTTGACGCAGAGTTTGAAAACAAAGTATTTAACATACCAATAACAGCGCACGTTCTTAATGAGGTAATAACAAAATACGTGTGCATATTATATGTTATTTAATGAACCAAAATAGTTAAACTAATAGGATAAGGGGTATTCTCACACACTAATAATCTCTCGTCGGAAAGATAATAATAAAACAAACATTGTCCAATGCACATTAGTTTTTATTCAAAACTATTTATCGACCAGTCTTTATTTGCATCATTCTATACTTTTAAAAAGACACATCAAATACTTAAGTTATTTAAGTTTAACATTATGCTATATTTAAAAACCACTCATCAAAATAATATTTTTATTTTGTACAACGAAATAGAATTTGGATTGTTTAATAATAATATAATAGATATTATTTGAAACTTTTTTTTGCTCAAGTCAGTTATTTTATAGAAAAATCAATTACTGATCCATGAAATTGTGAAAAACAGTTACATCAAAAGACGACTTGATAGTAAAAATATAGTTAAGCGATCACTTACTTGACTCAGACCAGACAGCTGACAGATGTGTGTTGCTACTTGCTCGGAAATACTGGCTACGAGGCGCCGGTGCACAGTCCAAAAGCCAGCACACACGCTGACGGACGAGGGGAATTGGTGTTTACTTTATAACTTATGAGTTGTGACTGAACCGGTGGGCGATAAGTAAGTCAGGGGCGACACGGTTTATAAGAAAGGCCGATCGGTTAAGGGAGTGAACGCGAAGAAAACTCATAAAACAAAGGCATGCTCGAAAAGCCGAAAGACCGACGACAGCCGTACATCACAAAAAATAGCAAACAATAACGTAGGTTATGTCTACCGACTATTGGTTAGGTCAACTAAATGTTTACAACACCAAGGCCATCGATGGTCTAATGATGGAAGCGCGTGTCAGTTGACCTAACAGGTTGTATGCGAGGGCTCGTGTTCTGGAGGGATCGCACATGTCGCGACAAGATCATAGATAATAAATAATAGACTAGCCGTGAGAGCTTATTATAGGAACGTTCCACAATAACAGCTATACAACTTTAATTATAGTGTATTTGTATAAGGTTACATAGCATATATTCGGTGCTTGGGCAAAACGACTAGTACATTTTTTTATTAGTTTTTTTTTGTAAAAACTTAATGATAAGATGACAAAATAAATTACTTTTTAAAGGGAATACTATACCCAAATCCTAAAAAAAATGTCGGTTTTTAAAAAAGTTAAAACTGTTTTTTTTTTCATTATTACAGACTGTCAAAAAAGAAATTTATTGAAAAATAAACAAAACATTTTTATGACTAAAATGTATAAATTGTCAGTTCGATAATTATTTTACTTGTCATCACAAGTAATAACTAGGTCATAAGAAATACATTGTTTTAATTTAAATTATTTTATATTAGGAGGCTGAAATTGTAGATGATAAAATCATTTTATAGAGAACTTTTAATTTTTCTTACATTTTTTATTGTGAAAAAACTTTTTACCAAACACAATATGCTGATAATTTGTCGGTGGTATGAATAATTGGTGTCAACGTTTTGATTTTTTTTTTTGTCGCCGTGGGCCATACTAGTGTGCAACTAGTAAGGCACGACTTCTGTGTACGATTGTATGAAAAATAACATAAAATATATTTTTAACAATAGATAAACCATACAGTCCGTACAGCGCAGGGTCCAACCGTTTGAATGAGTTGACGCGATTTTAAATGAGTGGAAATGTGGCATTTCCCTTTCACCGTTGATTTATCACGACAAAGCAGATATTTTATTTATCATAAATAATATTTTATCCAACCGACAAATTGTTTGCGCAACGTTAAATTTATTATGACCACTCGGAGCGACAATGTTACGCTTATTACTATACACACAGTTATCCTACCTCATACTTGTGTATATACATATAATATAATTCAATTAATATAAATTATATGGTGCATTACAGTCGCTTTCGTCGTTGCCATTTAACAGATTATATTTTATACCTTTGGGCTTTGACACAATCTCAATAAACCTATATAAACGCCCAGTCCAAGAACTACTACGGGTCGTTTAAGAGTATTTTCGTTGAGGTCTGATTATATAGGACATGCAAAATCGTATTAAAATTTTACCCGTACTTATAGCAAACAACAGCTGCCATCTCGGCTACGACAGTGGACGGCAATTGGCTGTATGTATTGTGTATCTATTTACTCAGTGCACGCTGAACAGATAAGTGACTATAGCGTGGGCGGCAAATACTCTTATAAAAAAAAAAAAAAAAAAAACGTTAAAGGTTAAGCCAAACAACAACTTCCCGGACTTTCACCAGTATTGTTAAATCTGTTATTTACTAATTAGGTTCATAAAAAGAGACGCTTACGGCCTCGTAGCAATGTACATAATAATAATAATGATAATAATAATATTTTTACACACAGCCGTGCTCGAGGTATAGACATGTGATAATGACTTTTGCATACGCCACGATATCTACAGCTCAACGTTGGACTACTCAGTTGGATACATCAGTGCAAAACTGAGGTTGGCACTGAAATTACTTTACATTTGATTTACCATACTATTGGTTTTTTTTATTCCGGACTGATAATTGGACTGATGGTCGATCCTATGACCTCCCCAGTCATAGTTTATGCTCCATTACCACACTACCATACGTTTGGTCTTTAGCTTTAGATGTCATATTATCATCACCCGGTAAAATATATGTGTTCAATCGCCGTTTTTAGAAATAATAAAAATGAATTCGCCAAAATAAAAGCGGTAATATAATTTCGGATATCTGGTTTCCGAGTGGACACAATACGTCTTGTTTTATGATGTTTTTCTGCTACATTCTCTGCACGCTCTGGCCCGAGACTAGACCGTTTTGTACAATTATTTTTTTGTCATTCTGATCCGTAGTAGTAGTAGGTAATATAAAATAATAATATTGGGTTCCATTGAAATAATTGTTTGATTGTACGTCTACCTATGTTACGACTATTGTCTGTGTTCGTGGTACAACTAAGGAAATATTATAATTATTTCACAGACAATACACGAGAGCGCATGCAAAACAAGAATATACATAAGTGTAATGTTTAGTAAAATGTGTTTTTAAAAACGGGTTCGTGTAAAACAAAAATGACGCATTTGCTTGTTGTAAACAGTACAACATGTACATGTATTAGTGTTGCATTCGGAGACTGAAAATATTTACAATTAGAGAAGATAAAAATAACATATGACTAACATTTTAACAAAAACCACACGGGTTTTACAATATTTCCGCAATATTTAATATCCATCATAATAAGGTGTCAAAAACGGCCATGAGTAATAAGAGTCGAAAAAAGACTAAAGTATAGGAAAATTTTTTAAAACAAACTTATATGACGATCATAATATTTTATTTGAAAAAGTATAAAACGTTCTTTTAGAAAATGTGATGGTCCCGTGTCACCTTATCGGGCAATCACATAAAGTTAATATATTTCTATACTTAATTAGGTTTTCCACGAAAATTGTTCGTGTTCCTTGCACGGTTAGATCAGGACGGATTTCAATTATAGAAAAGGAGTAAAGCCATAAGGTCGGTAAAAAAACGATTTCGACTAATATGAAAAGTGTGTACAAACTCTTTATTCAAGAGAAATTAATTGGTAGGTACATTTGATTGACTTACAATACTAAATTCCATAAGTTGTCGATGGTGTAATGATATAAATAAGCCTTAAAATAAATTAAACTAAATAGGGATACGGATACAAAAAAAAAAAAAAAAATACAAAATATAATGAAACTAAATAATTTTTTTTATACATAAAAAAACTAGACTTGATTTTGTAGTTTTCAAAACAAACAAAAAAAAAGAAAACACTTTGGAAGACGGGCTTTTTTTAAGTGAAAAAAAATCAGAATGGAAAATTTAAAATAAAACATATTAATTAATACGTTCATAATTCATAATGGCGCATTTTATTATTTATTATTATAAAATAAACATAATTTTGTTTGTACTCCTCGTTTTATAAAAAGCTCAGTGATCAATAATTTCACTTATGGTTACACTAATAATATGTTAAAATAATCGACCGATCAATAATTATTAGCTTTAACATATCATTATTATGGAACACACAATAATCATTAGATAATATTCCATAAAATTGTTTGTTATTTAGAATACAAAAATTGCAACATTTTAAAATAGTTATTTGAAATTTAACATCAATTTAAATTTTCTTATATTTTTTTCCTAAAAAAAAGTCTTCCAAAAATATATATTTGTATATTATAATATATTATTTTATTTATAATTATTATTATGAATAATTTTATATCGAAAAACTGTTTTTACACAAAATATTTTATACACTTAATTCATTCTAAAAAAAAAAAAAATAATAATAGTAATAGTAATAAATTAAATTGTCAAAAAGTTGTATGAGCGTTTTGTTTTTGTTATGTTTACTTATATGTTTAAACGTATATATTTCATAAAAACTAAGTAGGCCACACACTACCCTATGATAGCTACCTATCTAATCAGTCGTATTCGATATACATTTTTTTTATGTATATATAAATATATTTAAATATTATATAATTTTAAAAAATTCTGATTTCATTGCGATTTTTATGAACTCTTGTCGCTAAAAACTAATAAGTGGGGTGGGGCTTCTAGTAGGTATAAAGACCGTAGAGAGATCTATTCAATGAACACAATGTAAATTAGTTTACAATTAGATGGGATTTACACTTTAAGGGAAAGGGGGGGGGGAGATGCTCGAAAAGTCAGCCGCTGATTAAAACTCGTGGGCGATAATAGTAGGTGAGTTCGTCGACCGAAATTTCAAGGGTTTCGACTCTTGTGGAAAAAAAAACCCGGAGAGTCGTTGTAGACTTAACGTTATTCCAATGATTTATATACAATACGCACGTATACGCGATAAATTAATAATTATAATAGAGTACAAAAATAAAACGCTAAGTATTTGGAATCATACACGAACAATGATAGCCTATAAAAAAAATAATACACACGTAGATTTAAATTTTGTTTTGTTTAAAGAAAAAAAGAGGCGTAATAGTATGTCGTAAAGTATTTACAAAAAAAAAAAAAAAAATATTAATAATAAATAATAATAATAAAACAAAAGGAAAACAAATCATAACAAAATTCGTGATTAAAATTGATGCTTAAAATCCTATCGTTTTTTTAACCCTAATGATAAAAAAAAAATGAGTACTTATAAAGTAGTATAACGTTTATAGTCTCGTTTTTAAAATTTAAAAAAATATATTAATATATTTTATAGCGTCTTTGGCATTCAGTGGAACTCGATAAATAGAAAAAAAAATGCAAATAATTATAAACATACATTGTCAACCGTCGAGTCTCAGCATTTTGCCGACGATTGGTTTTCCTGATACGGACCGGTGACCACGCAAGGGTACATGGGGAACAATGTGGTCCACGTGGTCGTGGTGATGGTGGCAGACTTGCGGTCACCCGCCGTTTGCGTGGTCGTGTTGGTGGTGTTGGTGGCGGTGGCGCAGGGAGCGGTGCCCATTTTGCGAACCCTCATCTTCTCCTCCCACTCGACCCAACCGTGTTTGGGCCGGTTCAAGTTCCGGTGCTGGTAGAACACCAAGCTGACCCGGGTCGGGTGCAGCCTGTCCGGTTTCTTCAGGGCCGTGGTGGCGTGCAACTCGTGTTTGGCCACCTCGAACAGCACGGAACCGTGGCCCAGCGCAATGGCCACTCCGCCTATTTGCGAGTCCTGCGTAAAGCGAAACGGGGCGGTTAGGTTAATTAAATGATTGCACTACTACGCGCACCGATGTATTTTTGCACATCTGAGTCTGTCAAATCGCCATACTATCAAAACGCACCTTGAAGCTTTCTTCGTTTTCGACGTAATCGGTCACCTCGCCGATGGCGTGCGGTTTGGGCGGCGCTGCCGCTTCGGCGGGCACAACAACTGAGGGGAAGTACGGCGTTGGTCCGTATAAATCCCACCTAGGAAGCTGGTACTGAGACATCCCCTGGAAATCGGCATTGACGTTAGAATAATATACACCACGAGGCGGACTGCGGCGTGCGTTACCTGATTGTACATAATTGTTGGGTCCTGATGGTAAAACTGCTTGGTCGCCGTTTCGGCGGTAGGCCAATAGTGGTTGCCGGCCGTCGGGATCGATTGATAAGGGTTCGGTCGAAGGTAAGAGTTGTTACCGTGCAAGGCCGCTATTGTCGGGGGAGCGGCCACGTGTGTCTGACTGGGTCGGACTTGACTAGATTTATAATAGTAGTTACTGTTATTGTAATTGACGTTGGCGATCGACGCCGCTTTGTTGGGCGCGTAGCTGGTCGACTGGTAGTAATAGTCGGGCGGCTTCTGAAGCAACGGCGGGTAATCGCCCAACGCCGGTTCGATGGGCTTTCCGCCTGGCAAACCGCCCCCGACGGACGGCCATAAATTGCGAACGTGGTGGTGATCCATCGTCGACGGTTGACGCATAGCTTTCGCCCCAATCGCCATTCCCGGTGACACGGTGTCTGATGAGAGCACAGTGAAATTAGTCAACTCCGCTAAACCGACTTAATATTATAAACCTTACTCAGAGTGCTCCAAGGACTGTAATCCTGGACGTTGTAAAAATTCGAGGACGGACTCTGCCCCAGAAGTCCTTGTTGGTTCCAGCGCTGATACATGCTCATCGTCGGACTGTCCAAGACGGTCGATGAAACCTTAGAAAAGTAAAACCCAAGATTACTTAGCGTCGACGTGGACGTTATTACAACGCGCTCAATATATACCTGTGAGCTCTGCACTTGCGCGTCGTTGGTTTGCGGGTTGTTCTGTTGCCCCGACGGCGTGGGCGGTGCTTTTCTGGGCGACTCCGCTTCGTCGTCTTTGCGTTTTTTTCTTCGACAAGGCGTCAGAGGCACTGATCTCACTCTTACTTCACAAGGGAACCTAAAAAAACGCGCCCAACATTAACAAAAAAAATTCTCTGTGAAACATTGAGGGTTTGAAACCGGTTAATCGCGTACTTTGAAAGCATCTCGACCGATCCGTTTGTGAATTTTTCGCTTTGAGCTTTTTTGTCACCGAACTCGTCTGAATCGTCGATGACGTATAAAGGAAGAACGTGCAGCTGTTCGTCGTCGGGTTTTCCCAAACCCCGGTGTTTAGTCAAAGTGACCACCTTTGCAAAAACGAATAAAAACCAATTAGTCTCTGTGGCGTCGTATTGTCGTTTGTAGAGTGTACAACAATTATTGAACTCACCACCGTGCATCCGTTGTTCATGTTGTGGAAATCACGATGGGCGTGCGCGCAAAAGTCAATACAAGCCGTTACGCTTGCAAAAGGACGACCTGGTTTGAATCCCAGTCGACAGTCGGACCCTTCGCGTTCGCATTGTATTTGATTGGCGAACGACAAAGGGGCCAAGGATTTGTAAAGCGGCGATACCGTTGTGGCCAACGTCTGCAACCGTTCTTCTAATTCTTGTTCCTGTACCGATTTAAAATATCCGTAAAAAATCTTTAAAAATCGTAACAACTCGTTTAAGTTTGTTTCGTTCAATGTAATTACCTCGGTTCGAACGGATAGTCTGAATTTCCGCACATCTTTACTCCTGGCGTACTTGCAACCGTTGTAATACATGGACCAAGAGCACCCGAACGAAAACGACGCACCGCACGTGTCCGGATTCAGACCTTGACAGGCGCAAGTTCGCGGATCGTTGGTACCACACCGTCTGGTCGTCGGCACTCCGTACCTGCGGGGTAATCAAAATACATGTTACACTATTCAGTCATAGAGCCTACGCCACATTGACGTAACACATACTTGTTCAATTTGGTAGAAAGCATCGAATAGAGAAAATCAGCTTCTTCGGACAACACTCCTTCCCACGCCACTATGCATACGACTATCCAAGAATACCGACATTTGTGTCCTTGTCGGTTTTTGACGACCAGCAGGATTTTCTCGTCCATAGACGATCGCCGAATAACCCATTTAGCTAACGGACAACCTTGCGTGGTCTTACCCTCCTTGCCAGTGTACAATATCTAAAAGACGAAAGCAGAAACATTTAGTATTCTACACTTGTATTACTAAAAAACAAAGAGTTGTTAAACCAGGACAATATTTGTCGGGGCCCTCACCTTTTCCATTCGAATTCCTTTGCCCTGTACGCCCGACATGGTTTCCATATTTTTTCTCAGTTCCTTCAAGTCGTAAGCAGAACCTAAGTGCGTGTAGAACGGTCCCGGTTCGGTTGGCGCCTGATCTACGGGGAAGCAGTTGCAATCGGTAACCGGACTTTTGACGTTCGCCTTACATCTGAAATTATTTCATACGTCAACAATTGTGTGCATTATAAAATAGTAAATAAAAATAACACATACTTGTCATCTTGATTTTCTGTAAACGAATTGTTTAGGTTGGATTCTTGTTTGATGTCGGCAGGATCGATGACTTCATCTTGAGTGAGTAACTTTCGACAACATCCGTCTGATAAATGTTTGCTCGTCGGGGTGTCAGTTCCGCCCATGCGGCAACACCACGGACCAACCACAGTTTCGATGGGATTAGGCCCACCGTTGCCACAAAATACGTAACCGTTCTTCTGACTATCTCTTGGATCGAATCCAAACGGCATTCTTTGTAGTCTAGCTTCGTGAGGGATTTCAATAAATTCTTTTTTTACTTGTACGTCGGCCTTATAACCGTTCCGATGGTTGTTATAATATTGGTGTTGTAGTTGTAATTGTTGTTGTTGCTGTTGGTGATGGTAATTCGGATGTCGTTTGACTTCCGAGTAAAAGCCACCACCCTCAGTAGCTAAGCTCCGAGGATGGTGGCCTTGGACTAAAAAATTATTGCTTAATAAATTTTGTTTTGAGTCTGTTATGTATTGCTGATGTTCTTTTTGGTCTAGTGGACTTTTGGCGTCTTGATGATGTTGCAATATTTGGTGTCTGTGCAGGTGCTGTTGCTGTTGCAACTGTTGCTGCATTTGTTGCATATTTTGATGGTGTTGCTGTTGCTGCTGTTGTTGCTGCTGCTGCTGTTGTTGCTGTTGCTGCTGCTGTTGTTGTTGTTGTTGTTGCTGCTGTTGTTGTTGTTGTTGCTGCTGCTGTTGTTGTTGTTGTTGCTGCTGTTGTTGTTGTTGTTGCTGCTGCTGCTGCTGCTGCTGCTGCTGTTGCTGCTGCTGCTGCTGTTGCTGCTGCTGCATTTGTTGTTGGTGCTGTTGTTGAATTTGTTGATGATGCAACTGCGAATGATTATTTTGCTCCTGTGGACTATGTCTCTGTTCATTTTGGTATTGCTCGTTCAGATATTGTCGATGCTGCGCAACGCTCTGTTGAGCTTGCTGTTGCGCCTGTTGTTGAGCTTGCTGTTGGGCTTGTTGGTGTTGCAGTTGAGCTTGTTGTTGTTGAACTTGCTGCTGCTGCTGGTGATGTTGTTGTTGATGTTGCGCTTGTTGTTGTATCTGTTGATGGTTATTCTGATCATTCGGACTGTGTTGATCCGTCAAATATTGTTGATGCTGTGGGCTTTGGGGCACCTGCTGTTGGTGCTGCGTTTGTTGTGTTTGTTGCTGTTGATGATCTTGCGATCTGTCTGGTTGCAAATACTGTTGCTGTTGGTATTGTTGTTTGTTTAGGATCATAGATTTAATTCTGTTGTTCAGATTGTTTTTATCGGATGATGTCGGCGATGGGTCGTATTGGTTGTTGGACTGGCCCCATACGCCAGTTGCTGGAGAATCTGATATACGATTTCTGTCCTCCCCTACGGAATTTCCGTCGTTCTTACCTGGGTACCTATGGTAAAAACAAATACATAATCTATAAGCTAAATATCTATAAATATGTAATAAAAAGTTAAATTAAAAAAAAAATCCTCGTCAAGTCGACTTACCCATTAGAGTTGTGTAAACTCTGTTGTGATTGGGGAGGTTGTTGAGGTGGGTACCCAGGTATCGCGTTTCCCGCACCGGATTGACTAAAGCTATTGTTCGTTACTTTGGCGGACGTATCGTTCGAGTCCATGTTTTGAGACGAAGGCTCTTGCCCCTGTAAATTTTTTAATCGTTAGTTAGCTGTTTTTAATTTTGTTTTTCGTTGATTGCAGTAATAATAGTTAATAACATCTATTATAATAATAACTCACGGTTTGGGATATATGGTTATAATTCGGCGTTCCGTTCACCGCGAATTCGGTTCTGCCCGGCGCTTCCAGATACTCGACGTTACCGTTGATGGTAGGTGCCACGCCGTTCATTAAGGAGCTGGTGGTAACTTGGGTGGGCTGTTGGGCAAACCCGTTGGTGACTTGAATAAAACCTGCCGTGGGAGTCTGCGCCGCACTCACTGTCTGGTATCCCGGCTGATTGTAGACGTTTGGCGGAGCATGAGTGGAATAATGCAATGTATTTGCCGGCGAATGGTATCGGATGTCTTCCAATTGAATTTGTTGGCTCACGTACTGGGGCTGAGGCGATTGAGTGACAGCCGTCCAACCTGTGCACCGAAAACAAACGGTTGGTTATTAAAAATATAATAGAATAACGAAGAAGGTTTTTTTTTTTGTTTTGCTCTTGTACTAACCCAACGCGTTACCGTCGGTCGAGTGCCACACAGTGGCCGGTGTTCCAAATCTGTTGTCTCTAAACGCAATACCGTTGGGATCGGATTCCATAATGCTCACCGGTTGGTTCCCGTAGAAACCGTTTCCAGCCGTAGTCAATACCGTCCCGGATAGCTACAGGAACAACAATAATTATTGGCGAAAACGAGTAATATACTATTTACAAGGGACGTTATGGACTTACCGAATTGTTGTGATGAGAATCGTTCATTACTACCGGCGAATTGGGAGCTCCGTTCAACGGTGTCGTCGGTCCGGGCGAAGGTTGCGGTGTGCTCGGATTTCCCGATATCGATCGATTCCCCTTGTTTCTGTACGCCTGTAACACAAACGAAAATAACATTTTTGTATTGCTACACGTATCCATACTATTTGAAAAAAAAAAAACGTAAACAGATTTGAACGTTGAAATAAAAAACACACCAAACGAAAACGGGAGTAAGGTTTATTTTTAGAGACTCGCAGTGGGCGTTGTGCGTTTGAGGTAGTGCCAAAATAAGTCGCATAACCGCAGCTTTGTACGGGGTATACGCTGTTTTTTTTCATTCTCCTCTCGCCGGACAAATAATATTATAATAGAAGGGATTTTGGGCCCGACCTAAGGCAATAGTGTTTCCGTTCGCACAGCCGAGGTCGTTTCATCCCGCCAAGCCCGGAAGGTCGTGCCGGCGGTATTATAAAAGGGAGGGAAACCGCTTTCCCTCGCCCGACAAGTGCCCGCCGCATCTATGAATGAAAACTCGCTGTCGTCCCATAGTGTCGTTTTTATCGGCGATTATCAATAGTAATAATTCAAGTCTACAGTGAGCCGTGTGTTACATTTTTATTCTGTCTGAAGTACACATAACAATATGCGGTAATCTAATCGCCTTAAACGACCGAAGATAACTACCGACGTTTGGACTCGCGTTTACATTAATAACGCCGAACACCGTTATTTATATCGAGCTAATCGCTTTTTATAATAATAACATATAACATAGTATTATACAGTATGTGTCTGAAAGACTGTCGCAGTAGTAAACATCGTATCGCCGCCAAAAGTGGCAGTTTTTAAAATATTGTCTCGAGAATTTTCAGTAATAATTATCGTTTCGAATGGCTGTGTTTGTTCCGGGTCGTACCGTATACTCTCTATTGAAGTATACATAACATACTTATTACCGAATAATAAAATATTCAGTCGAGTGTAATACTATCACAAATATGGTAGCAAAACACAACGGGACAAACATCAACAAGGCACATAATGTTATTATTATGTATAATCCTCGGGTAAAGGACTTGGGAACGTGACTACGTTTTTGTTAACCTCTCAGTAACTGTCAAAACGGTTTTAGTTTTTGGTTTTTTTTTTATGTAAAAAAAAACGCCCGTTCACACACACGTGCTATCGTGGAGAAACGCCGTCGGTAATGGGACGCGCGCATTAGCATATTTTTACCGATCGAGGTCACACTAAACAATAATTATTATCAAACACTACACTACTGTACTTATATTATATTATATAGTTGCAGGCCGATAACGTTGCACACTGTACTGAAATTAAAAAAAACGTTACCGCCTATGTATGTGTTATAATATTGTACACATATACGCAAGTACACGCGGCATGGTAAGTCGAAAATACCGTACTTAAACGGCAGACGTTTACGAGTGTTTTTTTTTTTTTTTTTAACAACCGTCCTTCATTATTTTATTAACATTATTGTTGTTATCATTAACGGCCGTTTTCTATGTAACAGCCGAGGTCTGCTCGGTTCTCCTACTACAACCGACGGATCGGCCGTCAAATTATTACTCGCCCACCCGCGCATTAATCATATACAAAATAGTATAAAAAAAAAAACATAATATTACACACTACGAGACGAGCACGTACGCCAGACGTGGAATAGCAGAACTCCGTAATAATAATACACTGATTTACACCTATATTTTTTTACCGCCACCGTCCAAAAGTTCAGAAAATACAATAATATAGTAAACGGTTTCAATCGATGAGTAAAAAAAAAAAAAAATAATTAGACGCGAGCCCGACGAAAACGCGCCATCGAGAAAATTGACTTTTCACTTGCAAGTCTTACGCGCACGAATCAAAGTAGAGTACGCTGATTTTTAGTAAAAAATAAATAAATAAAAAAGTAATTTACAACAGTTTACAGTAATTTAAAGTTATGGTTATTTTTCGTGTAGTATACAATTTAAGTCTCACCCGGTACGGTGTAATGTTTTAATTTGTATTATTGTTGTCCCGCTGGCAGTCGACCTGTTCGCCGGTTGTCCGATGTCGTCGGGTCACACGTCATGATGATGTCGTTTGGCGGTTTTTTTTTTGGCGATTTAATTGTAATACAAAAACTATTATACAATAATAACGAAATATATGAAAACGAACGCTGGCGGACGGGCACGGTCGATATCAGCGGAACACCGCGACTGGTATCATGCATCGACGAATGCCGCCCCTCCTCCTCCCCCGTGCCGACCGTGGAGTTGGCCGCCCGCCAGCCCACCGTTCCTCCAGACCTTCCAGCACGTACGCACGTCCAGCGGCGTGTTAAGCGCATGCCCTAGGGGGGATACGGCCCGTACAGTGTGGTCGCGGCCGCGGTAAGTATCGTGCCGCGCACACGGTAATAACCGTACGCGCGGCCGGCGGCCGAAGGAGGTGGTGGTGGTGGTGGTGGCGCGACGGCAGTAGTAGTAATAGTAGTAGTAGTAGCAGCAGCAGCAGTAACTGTTATCGTAGTACTGGAAGTGGGACAAGTAAAGTGGTAGTAATAATAGTAAAACTAATATAGGTATGACAGCTGTGGTAGTAGCAGTAGAAAAACTATTAGAAAAACATTACAGCAGTACGGTAGACCCCGTCCGCCCACGAGACTCTTCGCCACGTTACACTTGTCTAGGTCATGTCTCCCATGTAGCTCCCAAGTTTCCATTACCACCCGCCGTCGTTTTTGTCTCCCAAATCTCGCCCCCCTTTCCCTTTTCCTTCCACGCACAATCCCTCGAAAATGATGTACGTATAGTCGCCACGGCTAGATTATCCACATCTAATAATAACGACTATTAGATACGACTTATTCGAATAGTGCCCAACACCGAATCTAATGGAATTAAATTTAAAATCAACTGGACTGTGTAAATTAAACTAAAATGAAGATATAGTTGTATTAAAGTAAAATATTAGGTGTACAAAGTTGATAAAAAACAAAATATCTATCCCATCCTTTGCGATTAAATTATACTTATTATTTGACCAAGTGTACATCACATTAGCCTATAATTCGAAATGGACACAAATAAATGAACAAAATTAACACGACCAAACTTCAAAGTTTAACTGTTACGACTAATGCAATTTACACGGAAAACGGATTCGTCGATTAACTTTTATTATAAACGGCCGTCAAGCGATTTTTAACAACCTTACAATGGAAAATAAAATATATTTATTTTAAAATTGTTTTTCAGTCCGTTAACGTTAAATTTAAAACCGTATTCGACTGAATTATAATGAGAGCCATTAACGGCTAATGGTTTTCACAATGTAGCGCTAGCCTTCTGTTTTTCATAAACACTCATCATTGAGCATAATATTAATAATAATATATTGACTGTTGTAGTCACAATGTTGTTGACAATGATAAAATACTTAAAACCAATATTTAACAATAACCATTAACGAGATTATTAAATCCATTTGATTGTCTATTTTTTTTTTATTGTTATTATTTTTTTTTTACCGAACAACATTTCAACAATAATAAATAATACGTATCAGTTGGTAAAATAAATAAAAAAAAAAAAAAGTAATCAACCAATTATTACCGCGTTAGCTGAATGCCGACCATTGTGGATCTGTTGAAAAACGATTTTTGTTCTATAATAATTAACGACATTCAGTTCGCAACAATATCACAATGGAAGTCATTAAAAAATTATTATAGCCGAGTTTTAAAACGGCTACTAAAATACAACAATGGTTATAATTAGTTAGGCTTTACTAAAAAAACACCCGTGGTTCTCAAATAATAAAATAAGCTAATTGGCAATTGACCATTTTTTTGTTTACATGTATTTTGTGTTTGTATAACTAATATTTTTTTAACATATTTTATTTATTAGCAACATTTATTTAAACGCGTTATTTACTACATTCTGACCGAATACTCCAGCCGATATTTTTGCTAAAAAAAAAAAAGCGTTGAAGCCACCAAACGAAGTTGAGTACAAAATATTGTAATCTATTCCGAAACGTATAGAATAACCGGAAGTCGAGTTTACCGTTCGGTTTAATTACTTGTAACAATAGAAAACGATGGAATTCGATATTGAATATTTTGTCCTTATCAAGCTGAACCGGTGTCAGTTTTATTATGTCATCTCCGTACAGTGTTCCCTACAAATATGGCCTGTTCAAATTGTACAATAATATATTATAGTAAAAACAAATTTTCTACAAAAATTTAGTTCTGTAACAGTAGTGTCGAGACGTAATATTAATGTGTTTTGCATAAATTCGTACGATAAAGGTCAAATGAAATTTGTATTAAAACAAAAAGAAGTTCTTATTATTTTTTTTCGGATTAACAGCTATGGTAAATAATAATTCCTATGAGAGCGTCATCGTAGCATAGAATAATTGAAAACATTTTCAACCGTCGTTTATCATTTTTATTGTAATAAAAAAAAAAAACGTATATTTTTTTGGCACATCTAAAGATGAAAACCCGAGAGAAAAATGTAATAAAAATAAAAAATATGAAATTCCAAGCGTCTGACACGTTAGCGCGCGATTTTAAATTGTTCGTCGCCGGCGTTTTTTTTTTTATCTAAAGCTGTTTTTTATTCCATTAAATAAAATATTTCCAACGCTGAGAAACCACAGCCCGCCGACGCGTTCGTTTTAAGTCGATTAAAAAAATAAAAAATGATAATAATAATAATATAATAATCACTCCATCTACACTGATTATATTTTTAAGCTAGGTAGAATTTAAAAAAAAATGTAGTTTTAATAAAATTGGTATTTTTGCAATTATTATATAATTTCAAAGGTCTTATAACATTTTTGTAAAAATCATTAACATAAGTACCTGTGACACTGGACTCGTAATATCAGCTCTTAGGGATACATTTATTTTCTAACTCAATTACAACAAGTTTACTACTAATTTTTTAGGTTTCCATAGTTTTTTTACGGTTCAAAACAGAAAATCTAAACATTTCCTGCTCCCATCTAATTGGTACTAAGGTCACGTTAGTCCACAACCTCACTCAAATCCGTTCCTAGCCGTATTTTAGGGGGTTTTATGTCTGTCCTTTCATTTCCCATTGCCATCACTATACACCGCCATAACGAGTCCATAATAATATAACCACTTTCCTAGTGAAAAATCGACAAGAAAAACCATATTCTCACGTACTCGTCGTATGTGCAATGCCTAATTATTGTCCAATGTCTAATCGTCGTTGTGACCAAAAAATGTAGATGGGCTCTTTCGTGTGTTTATTATATTTTGGTGAGTCATCATTCGTCGCGCCGTTCAGACGGAACACTGTGCAAATTACGCGCGGGGGAGTGTGTTGGGTTGCTTACGTGGACCGAAAACGCGGCGTTCGTTATCGCGTTGCATACGTTCTATTATTGCTATTTATTATTTTCTGGTAAAAAAAAAAAAATCAATGGACAGCCCCGGTGGCGGCGGTGTTGCCAGACTCTAATACACAAGTCTTCTCCGGAGAAAAACTCGCACACGACCCGAGCGCGGCAAAGTGTTTGCCTTGTAGGTAATAAAAAACATTAAAAAATAAAGTCAACCCCTTTTTTAACCGGAACACGTTTCACCGACCACCCGCTTTTGCCGTTTGTTATTAGCGCAAGAGCTTATTTAATTATCGCACCGAACAAGCCGCGAGTAAGACCCGCGCCAATAGTATATATTTTTTTACCGGCCCGACGAGATTGCCAGCCCCCCCCCCCCCCGCCGTGCTATCCGGTCCCCTCTCCTTTTTTTTATAATAGAGTTTTACCGTGTAATTACCGTTGCCCCCCGAACACTCGCAGAAGCAATTATTATCGAAGAGGGGTGGAGTTGTGAAAAATTGGGTTTTTTCGGGGGCAGAAGGGGGGGGGGAATTGATCATATAATTGCTTACAAATCGACGCCCGAGGGGTCGTCTACGCAGAGTACACTACACGGAATATTATCATCGACGGTAATCGATTTGACGGAACATTCGACTCCCCGCCCCCCTGTCGCTAAAGCTTGCGGTGGGTGGTGCCATGGTTACGGCGCGGAGGGGAGGGCAATAATAATACGGTCTTGCCGCGGGCGGTACATTTACCACGCGGTCTGCGCGCTGTCCTACCTTACCTCCCCTGGCCCGTCGACAGCCGATTACTCTGTCTGCGGCCGCGTACCCGCCGCAACAGCAACAACAACAAAATGCCTTTATCCGCCGCCGCTCGCCGGGAAATCCCGCGGGCTGTCCGCAAAAGGCCTTAACCCTGAACCCGGTCCCACGCGGCCGCCGTGCCTACCCCAAGGTCGAGGTGTCGCACAGACCTGTCGATACGACCAAAGGCAAACTTAACCCGCCCAAAAGCCGTTTGCCGAGTGCCGTTCCCCTATAGTGTAGTTTTTGGTTTTACTAAAATTGTTGTTCCGTTGAAGGCCGTTGTTGTGTGTATGAAAACCGTCCGACGGTCGTAACTCGCACTTTGCCAACGACCGAGAACCAAAGCCAAGTCTTGTTTTTCGTATAATATGTGCGTTTGTGTCGCTCGTTAACGAGAACGCGAATTAAGAACGTCGAAAAAAAGTCATAATCTATGTAAGCTAAATAAATAATAAAGTAAAACGGCAAAAAAAAAAAAAAGACTTAAAACATACCGCTCGACTTCCTTTTCCGCGCCCTCTTCGGTTTTCCCCTCGAGGATAGGATTCGTTGGCCAGATAGAGGAGGTGCTGAAACAAATAGTTCATAAAATAAATAAATCAAATGAAAACAAATTAAAAAATCGTTTCGCATGAAAATAAAAACAATAATAATAATAATAATAAACAAAAGAAAACAATAAATATTCGGCGATTCCACAAATGTCACGAAATGGATTATACGCCATTTAACAAAAACATTGTTTAATATCGGTGCCGCTGTCGTCCTGATACTCCGCACCGTATATTTGCCCTTTTACACCCTTTATTTATCGCCTAATAACCCTAATAATAATTGTAATACGATTGCACTGGTGGACAATATGAGAAAACTATTACCCTTCGGACCGGACGACCGATATATTGGTAAGCGTTATGATGTTGTTATAACATTGTAATGTACAAAAGCACGTTGAAAAATCTCAACTCCAGCGTTGTTGTCGTACGCCGCCTTCGAACCTCCGTTTTAATATTATCTGCGGCCGACTCGGGTGGGGAGGTGCAAAAGTGATATGTTTCGAAAAAAAAAAATCTAATTTTGGACCGTTTCACGTGAGCCGTCTACAACACACAACACACGGTACATAAGGTCAACGCATATGCCAGTGTCTGGACCCGTGTGTATTATTATTATATAGGTAAATGTACGCGACGAACACACGTTACACTTATATGATATTATTATTATTATATATTATACATTTTATACATATAGCGCACACCGAAACGCGCGGTTAAACGTATATATATATATATATATTGACATCTGGCACCCATCTGCCACGTTATAATATTATTATATATACAGTATACACACGCTGGAGAAGAAAAATAAATAACAACGATAACTGGCTTACGGATCACGGTCGATTTCCGTTTTATTGGCCGAGCGCGACGACGCCCTTTACAGCTTTTTTTTTTTGCAACGGTCTCAAATCAAAATGCCAGCGTGAACTCCTCCTCCTCCTCCTCCTCCGCCTCTGCCCACATTGTTCGCGTTCATTATTACTCTCTTTTAATTCTTTTTTTTTTGTTCTCCCATTCTTTTTTTCATTTCCCAAATATACATACAATATATATATATATATATTTACATATTAATCGTGATTTACAGCCGCGGTCGGAGGGGACGAACGGCCGCGCGATAAGCGCTCGATACCGGAAAAGAGAAACCTCGTATCCGATATTGTAGTTTATGTATAATCTTTTTATTTCCAGTAATCAATGGCCGCCCCTCGCCAAAAGTTTCTTCGGATCTCGCATACAGTGATTTATGTGTTGTCCGCGTGCGGCGGCTGTCGTTCGGTGCGCGTGCGACTTAAGTCCGCCGTGATACTACATTAACGCCAAAAGTAAAAAAAAAAAAAAAAAAAAACATTATTCGCGCCCCTAATGTCTAATATATGTGTATAAAGATAAAACGAGATAATGTATTATTCATAGGTTGCGCTCTCTCGGCAGGAATTCTGTTCGTCTCGGTCTTTAATTCCGAACCAAGCTTCTACATAGTTTTAATTCTACAGCAAGAGTTGAACAAACATGTCCGTGTATATATTGATTTTTCAACATCAAAATGGAAAGGGAGAGTCAACAAATACATAGTATATAATATAAGCAACTGTTTATAAAAAACTGTATACTAATGTTATTACATATTTGCAATATCATTACACCTTTTGTCCCGAAAGAAACATATTTGAAAAACAAGTGACTATAAAATTTTAAAGTATACCTTTGAATCGTTATATTTTATTAAGTTATTATTTTTTAATTTTTTTTTTAGACATTTAAAATACTATTGTGTCTAGATAATGGACAAGTATAAAAATTATTAAAATACTCGTTTTGTTTAAAACAATTACAAATTGTAAACAATCGTCTCGTAATTAGTCATTATTGTAGACAAAATATATAATTGCATTATTATAATAAATAATACAGTTAATTACGAGGTAACAATTATAAGGATATTTTTTAAAAGTCATTTGTGTACTTTTACAAGAGAACAAAATAAAAATCATCAAGAATTTAAAAATTTGAAAACATTTAATGTGTTCTTATCAGAACGCTCATTAGGTATAGTTTTCTACGATATCTCTTTTGAGAATGGATGAAAAATTGTAAAACAAACTCGTTTAGAAAAAGGTTTCGTTGACAAATGTTGTACGTAAATTTCATTTTGAAAAAATATGTCACTCGCACTCTTTTCCATCATTTCTAAAGTAGTTCAATTTATGTTTGGCTCGCAGACATTATTATGTATTTGTGTCATAGATTGAATATTGTTGTCGTTTTTGGGGGATTTTTCATCAATCTGGGGAAAGGATTTATTATAAAATACAATATTCCTATTTATTATTTTTACAATATTTTATTGCATTGTTCTGTCGTGGCCGCAAAAGATTGATCGATCCAATGCACTGCCGCGGAGATGACGCGTTCGTTTGGCGGCTATGGCGCGTTCCGGAAAGGGGTGGCCGGACGGACGTAGAAGAACACGCTGATGAATCACGCGACGCACCGCGGCGGCTGGCGAGGAGGAGAGTCGCGGTCTAAAAATCAATACTTTACACGCACGCGGCCGTCCGTCTGTCCGCCGGGCTGGATGGTTAACCGGCCGGCCGGCCGACGCACCACGTGATGTCCGCCCACAACGACACACGCTGGCGACAAGCGTCGGCACCACGTGCGTGCCGCGCGGGGCTGCGCGTTTGCGCGCTGTCCGAGTGAACTTGAAAACGCGGCGTCAAGCGCGCGCGCGCACAAGCATGGCCGGCGGCCGCGGTGGGCGTTTCGGGCGGAAAACGCAAACAAGCCGCCGTGTCCTATCCAGGGGTTCTTACCCTTTAACCTTCCGCGCGCATTGTTTACACCGAATGTAAACACAGTGTTTATAAGAGCACCTTCTCCTGGCCCTCGCCACCCATTCCGTCACCGGACTCCACCCCTATGCCATGGAAACGTCCCATTAGGTTTCTCGCAAAACCTCTCACGTGCGAACGACGTTTTTTAGGTTAGATATTGGTTTTACAACGATGTGTTTCAATGTTTGTGTCTGGACCCAAGTATCTTATTTTTAGCTACTGGACCGATTTCTTCATGTAACAAGTCTATAGGCCAGAAATCGTATCCGAATGTTATTTTCAAGTTTTAATGTTTAGCATAAAACTACTGCACACTTATGTTTTTTTTTTTAATAGTCTAACTTCTTTTACCAAACATACGATTACAAATACACTCGTGTAAAGTTTTAAGATTTCCACCTGATGGTATTCAACTGTCGTGATTTCTGTTGATATTTGATTTTTTTGTCATGCATAATATGGGTGGCAAAAACGTTGTTATTTGAAATGAAATAAATAAATAAGATTAGTTCTGAGGTGATTGACCAAAAGTGATACTAAAAAGTAAATATTTTCCATATAGACTATACTCGGATGGTTATTGATTCCGTCGACGCGACTGTCTATAAACGTTGAAGTAACTATAATTCAATAACACAAAGCTCTGCAACCGCACAAACTCCCAATCAAGTGCGTTTCTTTTAAAAATTATAGCTTGCTTCACCAGCGGTAATTCGCACCGTGTAACGCACGACGAGCAGACAGAGCGAGCAGTATATTATTATTATTATTATTAACAGTGTTTTCGGACGAGCCTTTGCGCCCGTCACAAGCGTGTAAGTTCTGCGAAGGGGAAAAAAATCCGATTAACCGACCCTAAACCGTCGCTGTATTTTTCTCCTTATTAGATTTTACATTAACTCCCTCGCCGACGCCGGTATGACGTCATTTCGCCGGTCCGCGATGGCGGCGGCAATTTTCGTTATCTTGTACAGCAATACACTTAAACATAATATAACTGTAAAATTCGGATTAGCATCAAACACAAGACACTGACATCAGCTGCGCCGGTATGGATTATGTTTCTTTTAGAAAAATTTCAATTTCGCCCGTTAGAAATGGCGGGAAACACTTTGAATTTCCGTATAAATTGCATTATTAACGCTGGACCGACAAGCTGTGTTATTGTACAACAGACAGAGAGACGAACAGATAGCTAGAGAAGATAATAAGAGTGAGAGAGAGAGAGAGAGAGAGAACACTATGTATAAAATGAATTATTGTCAGACGCATCAGCGGCGACACACACACACACACAGACCAGAGTATGTACTAAAAACGTGTATGCAGCTGTTCATCATCGTTTTTCAGAGTACAGTGAGAGAGCGAGGACCACCTGGCCACCGCCGCCGCCGTTACAAGTACGCAGGCACCTCAAAGGTCTATATGGTTTTTATTATTATTATTTTTTTTTTTTTTATCCGTCGTGTGTAATTTTATACACACACGCGCGTGCGCGCGACAGCTATAATATTATAAGCCCAACGGTTTTTTTTCCGCGTTTGTTCTTGTCCATACATAATAAAGTGCACCTTTTCCCATCGACATCAAATACCGTTACAAAAATAATATATATATATATATAATAAAGATAGTACAAAATATATACATAAGCGTCGTATAGATAAATAAAATGTCGTTCGCGTGTAAATGAATCCGGTGAAGTTTCCAAGTAGGATCCAAATAATCGTGGCCTGTACCAAACGGGTTATTGTTTTTTTTTTTTTTTTTAATTATTGCCCTAAATACCCACCCCTTAACCAATTACAAGTGTCAACGATTTCCGAAGGGCGCTGAGTGCGCGCGCGATATCGACGAGGGGGTTGAACAGCGATTTTAGATTGTTTATCCCTGCACTATACCTTATGGCCCTTGCATATTATATTCGCCATGGATTACACACGTTATGCGGCGGCGGTGCACTGACTTTCGATTTTCTCCAAAGTAAGTAGTCGACCCCTGTACTTTTGGCGTCGGCAGAGGGGACTCTCACCTATTACTATTATATTTGTGTGTGTTTAAATAGGTGTTGCTCGAATGCGGTCAAAGGGGTTTAGATTTGCCCCTATACTATACATAATAATTATAACGCTTAATGTTTTAACCATAGACGTAATAAGATATGAT